GTGGAGGAAAGGTTGCCCATGAAGCGCGGTTGAGGACTGGAAAGAGACGTTACCGAGAGAACGTTCCTGCAGATGAGATGCGTGAGGGAACGTACCTTTGCGGGTCTCAGAAAGAACGGGGCATATCTACCTAAGCAGGGGTTCTAAAGCAGCATCGGCCAATCAGACGGGTCGAGAGATGCCAATGACAGGAGGGGCCTGGGCGAGGGCGGACCGGGGTTTCTGACGTGGGAGACGTATCACAATGGTTTCGGTCAACGGCCCGTTCGTGACCCGGGTTGGTCTCTTGCTCTTGGCTGGGGGTCACGATGCAACAAAGTTGGTTCGGCTACATTGCCAAACAGTGGCGAGCACTCCCCCAAGGCCTCTCTCTCCAGGTGTCCTTCCTGCAAGTTCCCCCGGCCTGGTCCCTCCTGGACACTTCTGGGGCATGCAAGCCTGCAGGCGACGATGGACCCTTGCCTGCAAAATAAAGGTCGTCGGGAAAAAAGAAGCGCAAAAACAAGCTCGGCAGGGGTCGTATCTGCGAGTAGAAACGGGCTTCATCCCAATAGAGGCCTCTCATTTTCTCACACAACAACGTCCTCAGCGACCGCCCTCCCCTGTCGCTATCCCATCTTTTTCCACCCCTGATTCCATCTTGCTCGCTTTGCCCCTCTCTTTTCCACCTATTCCGTGCTTCTGATTGGTGCCTTGTCCGAGCGACCTTCTGCCGATTCGTCGAGCTTGTTTGAACCGCAGCGGAAACGAAACAGGCACACACAGCCAAAAGGCCTGCTTACTTACTCCATCGCACCTACGACCCTCCCCTCCTGCCTCCCACTGTCCGGATTCACTGCGAATTCCGTGCTTGGCGTCGCCCGCCTGGCTCTCGGAAGAAGGAAGGGAAGGGGGAGGAGGCTGTAAGAGGCTTGCTGCCATCTGAACTTTCAACCTTGAATCTCTCACCATGCACCCCCCTTGACGACATTGGCCAGGGGCCCCGTCTGCCTCCCACTTCCACTCTCACTCCCACTCCCACTCCCACTCCCACGCCTCTCCTCTCAGTGCTTCACTGTCTCGTCCGCTAGATCCCCCCTTCCCCTACACGCGCACATACTCCCATACCCCAGGCAAACACTACACTACACGCTTGCCCAGTACGGATACCAAGACCAAAGCCCGCCTCAGTTGCCCAGCGGCAACTCATCACCACCCAGGAGCAGCCTCCTGCTTCCTGCAAGGTACCATGTACCCCGTCAACCGTACCCCTGTCCAGTCCCACGTCTGAAGCTTCGCGGTCGAGCGTATCTTGCTACCCGCATAGTGGGCTCCCGTGTGAACCGACGACGGAAAGAAAGCTAGCCGCAGACAGTCCCCAGCAAGGACCCAAGTCGATCCGACCCCCTCCCGAGTGCCTGATGGCGAGAATGGGCCATGCGCCGCCTGCGAGATACGCCATGGGTGATGGGGGTGGCCATCCATCGATGAGCTCGTGAACTTTCTTTAACTACTTTGTTTCCCTCGTTTGCTTCTCCTACCCCTCTCTTCTTTTCCTCCTCATCCCGTTCACTGTGTGTCTTCTTCCAATCTCCAAAAGCGCTGGTCTGCTTTCCTGGGTCCACCGGTTTTGCTTACACCCTCCTTTCCCTTCGAGACCTCTTACTACGAACTGTCACTCCCTCGGACGACATTTAATTATTCTTGTAATCTTTCTCTTCTCTGACATCAACAACAATCGACCGTCCCAGGTGGCACCGATCGACATACTTTTACTACCGCTCGATATCACTGTCCCCGGAGAACAGGCCGACCGAAAGGAAATTTAGGAAGGAAAAGTAAAGCTGCAAGAACCACACCACACATAATCAACATGCCTTCCATGAAGACCGCCCTCGTCGCCGCCCTGGCCGCCGTGGCCACCGCCGTGCCCCTCGGCCCCAAGTTGAACAAGGACCAGATGAAGATCTACGACTTGGCCAAGAGACAACAGGCCGGTGCCGGCGCTGCTGGATTGACGGATATCGACATTCTGCAATTGTGAGTAGGGATTCGGTGGATGATGCGATATGCAAGCGCAGGACTTTGGGACACGACAACTAACACTGGTTTCACAGCGCTCTTACCTTGGAATGGCTCGAGGGTACTTTCTACCAGCAAGGCTTCCAGAAGTTCCCCGCACAGGACTTCATGGCTCTGGGTCTCTCGATGGAGCAGGTTAACGACCTTCAACAAGTCGGCGCTACCGAACTGTCGCACGTCTCTCTCCTGCAGTCTGCGATTGCCCAGGCCGGCACTCAGCCCGTCCAGCCCTGCCAGTACAACTTTGGCTTCACCGATGCCGCAGGCATGGTCAAGACCGCCGCCGTCCTCGAGAACGTCGGTGTCTCCGCCTACCTGGGAGCCGCTCCCCTCGTCAAGGACAAGGCTATCCTCGGTACCGCCGGCTCTATCCTCACCATCGAGGCCCGCCACCAGACCTTCATCCGCGCCGCCTCCAAGCAGATCGCCATTCCCCAGGCCTTCGATGCTCCCCTCGGCGTTCGTGCTGTCTTCTCCCTGGCCGCGCCCTTCATCACCTCCTGCCCTCAGGGTTCCAACTTGGCTCTCCAGCCCTTCCCCAAGTTGACGATGACCGCCCCTGCTCAGCCCAGCGCTGTTGCCATTGGCGCCCCCATCATGCTCCAGGCCGACAGCGCTGCCCAGGCCAAGGCTTGCGCCTTCACCACTGGTGGCCTCCAGCCCGGTGGCACCACCTTCAGCCCCTTCACTCCTCAGCAAGGTTGCGTCGTTCCTCAGGGTCTCAGCGGCATCACCTACGTCTCCCTCACGAACCAGTCCCCGATGAGCGGCGTGCTCAGCGATGACATCACCGTGGCTGGTCCTATGGTGCTTACCATCTCGTAAGCGCGTTCCGTAAGTTGGGGTCTGGTCTTGTGGCCCAGTAGGTGGGCTCGAAAAGGACGTGACGGGTGCGTGTTGATTAATCCCGAAGGTCACGAAAAAAAAGCAAAGAAAGGGGAGGAAAGAGCGCATGATACCTTCGCTTTACGACACGAAATTTGGGGTTAGTCAAGCAGAAGCAGCCAGTTTTCGATCAATGTCGACCTCCATTTCTTTTTCTTTCTGACTCTTCACTCTCTCAAACTCCTCCCCTATCCGACCGACAAAAACATTTTTTTCACTTCTCTGGCTAGATAGATAGCCTGTATATATGATGTCATATTATATATATTCCCGACGGGGTTTCAGGAGTCGAGTCGAAGACTTTTTATGTATTGTTTAACTGGTAACCCATTTTCTTTCTCTTCTCTCATCAAACGTTTCTTGTCACCTTTTTCTTTGTCTGCATCATGCCTGAGAGCATGCGAATCGATGGGGAGGAAATGATTGGGTTGGGGCCTGAAAAATCGTGCTGGAAAGCGAGGAGTATGATACCACCAAAGACAGAGAAACACAACCATTTTTTCTTGCTTCTCTTGACCCGCTGCAATAAAGCACGATTTTGAAAAGTCACCATGTTCATCACACATAGTTACTACCCTCACCCTGACAAGCAATTGAGAGACGGGAGGAAGAGTTTGAGTGCCGGGGGAGCAAAACACGACTTGAGAAGCCTGCTCAAATTGAAAAAAATAGCTATCTTTACCGCTGCACACGAAAATTTTCTTTTAGCAAGCTGGTGCGATGTTATTTTGGTGCGGTGAGATTGTAAGTTCCTTGACAGCTGTGACGACTTGGCGTCCATGGCGATCAGACACGACGTAAAGATAGAGTCGAGAAGTAAAGATAGAGAACGTGGGGGTTCTGGGTCTGGGGTGAAGGGAATGGGAGGGTAGCAGCAGCGCGGCTCTCCGAGTTCTGAGCTCGGTGCAAGTTCGGTGGTCGAGCAGGTCGGGGGGTGCCTTTGCTGGGTCCATGCTTCTGGGGCGTTGTGGTTTCGGGAGGCTCTTTGGCCGGGTGATTAATGCTGACTTGGCGTGCCCGAGGTCTTTTGTCAGAACGTGTCCCGTCGTCTGTCGTGGGGCTCGGGTCGGCTGGGTAGTGACTGTCCCGGGCCAGGGGGGGATGGGCGGGTTTGAAGGAGGAATTTGAGGACGCGGCCGACGCCCCAATCCATGGTTCGTCATTCTTTGATGGCCGGCTTTATTCTGGTTCCAGATATGCTGGTGGTTAAAGGGCGGCGTGTAAGCGACGGCCTTGTGTGCGATGCCTCGGAGACGTCTGTCGGGACAAGACGCCGATAGATCGATCAGTTTGAGGCTTGACGCCTTGGCATGAGGCCGGATGTAGAGAGGTTATCGATCCGAGATACGGATACGCTGACACGCATGTCAGTTGAAGGCTTGGTAAATTCAGTGTCAGAGATCAAAAGACCGGTCTAAGCTGGTTATAACATTGCACCCCTTCACGGTCGTTTCCGCAGATTCAATGGCACGATAAATTGCATCTTCCTCCGTACAACACGAGCCATGATTATTCAAGAATTTGCGAAGCGTTCCGGGTTTTCTTTAGAACAGATTCCAGTACCACTCATCCCTCAACACACAAGCGCTCACGTAATATCACACTGAGCGTGGACTATAGACGCAAGTGCCATTCACAGGAGGGCGATTTAATCACTTCCTCCTGCCGTTTGGACGTTTAGCCATCCGTGGTACAATCTGTTATCTGCAGCAATCAACCACAAATATACACTGTCAATACAATCAGTTAGTCGTCCGCGGCTTTAGGCCGCTACAGGTCTCATAGCGCTTACACTATATCATATTACTATCTTATGATCCTGTGTACTTATGTCAGTGACCTCTATCGTTCAAGACGCTTCTAGTATTTTGTAACAACCTAACTAACTCCTCGAGGTCTATCCCGCTCGTTTGGAGCTATCCCGCCCGTCCCAGCAATTAAAACACTACAAAAAAGATCACAAAGGGCAAAAAGCTGGACGAACAGGGAATCGAACCCTGGACCACTCACATGCTAAGCGAGTATTATACCACTAAACCATTCGCCCAATGGGATGATTTCGCCCGGACTTGAACCGGAGACCTTCAGTGAACCAGACGAGATTCGAACCTCGAACTGTTAGACTGACGTGATAACCAACTACACCACGAAACCATGTTATTTGATGACTCATCTCGAGCGGAAGGGATATGTGAACGTCTGGTGTGTGTGTGGGGTGACGGGTGAGGGCATCGTGAAGCGAGAGCGCCGGTTGTGGGGTCGTAGTGGAGACGTGGAGTGAAAGCTGCATGGCGTTTACTGTCCAAGGCGGTCATTCCCTCGACCCTCCCGCTCACGAGAGAAATCAGGCTGGCGTAATTTCGTGAAACGCGGAAGTCTGTGTCGGCGGTTGTCTTCCGAGAATCCGATCAACGCCGTCGTGGCGTTGTCAAAGTTGAGAATATCATGTATTCTTCTCTTCCAATTTGTTAGCGCCAAAGTGCCGGAGTGGGGCCATTCGGGGCCGGAAGGCCGTCCGGTGGTCGCTGCCCGGGGTAGCTTCGGGGAAATATGCCTGGTTTCCTGCAGCGACCCTTCCGAATGCTGCGTTTTTGGCATTCAATTCGTGGAGTGCCACCACGTTTGTCAGTCCACTAAATCCCGTGGTTGACAGATAATGCGGGCACCCGGCCTTCTCGCCGGCCGCGGCACTGCAGCAGGAGTGCGACCTACCTCAACGGATCAGTTCTCCGCACATGAATTACCTCGTCACACATCGGCCGTGATTCGAACCAACAATATCTCCGTCCACTTCATCGACATGGGTCGCACCAACTGCATGTAAACCAATCTACCTTCCAAACCGAGGTCCAATGTCCGACCACTGTCATCAATTATTAAGACGGCAATCTGCTCTGAGGTGTATAGCTTTGCGGGCGGAAGCGTGTGATACATGACGACATGCATTTCATGCAAGTGTATCTCGGCGTCTCGCGACAGATTCCGGACTCTTTCGAATCTCCCGCTTGTGATGTGCGACATAACGGGAGAGAAGAAGTCTAACGGGCGCCGGCAGCCATCCGATCTTTCGCTCAATCTGAATGCATCTGCCGTGACCCCGAACCCCGCGACTGGTGAGGGGCTAGCGCGGGGATGTGTGTTGGCGGTTCGGCCGGTCGCGTGGTGACGTCTGCGGGGTCGAGGTTTGCCGGAGAGGACTGGAGTAAAATGGAGACAACACTTGGGACGGAACAGTCCCCCGGCTTGTCGTGGGAGCAAACAAGTACCGTTGCATCAACGGATCATGGCCGGCATGCTCTCCCCGGCAATTCGCCCTCCATTGCGGGGTCGAGTTGCTGTCCCTCATGTTGTCTTCTCTTTGAAGACTTATCTTTCTGACAGGTTCGCCCCATCATGCGTGTTAGTTTAAACCTACATCAACTAGATCCTCAACGAGACGCCTTCCGCTAGTTGAGATGAGTCGTCCATTTCAAAAGGTATGCCCCCGTTAACTGCTGCTCCAGTAATTCTCTAAAGCTACTCAGGTCGTAATCGTGGGGGCCGGGCCTTCGGGCTTGCTTCTAGCGCTGCTACTTTCGAAGAAGGGAATTCCCGTTCAGATTCTCGAAGCTCAGGATCATCTCGACCAGCAACCACGAGCCGCCCACTACGGCCCAGCCGCCATCCCAGACCTGAAGCGCGCGGGCATCTTGGACGAGGTCCGTCGTCGGGGGCCGACGGTGAGCACGTTCGTCTGGCGGCGTCTCGAGGACCACAGTGTCATCGCCGGCTTCGATGCAGGCGTTCTTTCCGACATCAACGGCGACGACCTGCGCACAGCATGTCTGGTTCTTCAGGATCTCGACCAGCTGATGCTGGACGAGTTTCTGGAGAAACACAACGGAACCATCAGCTGGGAGCATCGTGTGGTCGGCTTGGGCCAAGATGACGAACGAGCCTGGGTGGATGTTGAAACACCACAGGGGAAGAAGAAAATCGAAGCAGACTACATCGTCGGGTGCGACGGGGCCAACAGCGCTGTTCGAAAGGGGCTTTTTGGGGAGGAGTACCCCGGCTGGACGTGGGATGCTCAGATCGTAGCGACGAACACGTACTACCCCTTTGAGAAGAAGTTCGGCTGGGACGATGCCAACTTCATCATCCACCCGGAACACTTCTTCATGGCGGCGAAGATCACGAATGACGGGATGTACCGCGTGACGTACGGCGAAGAGTCCAACCTCTCGCACGAAGAGCTCAGAGCACGCCAGGAGAAGAAGCTCAAGATCATGCTGCCTGGACGCCCTGACCCGGGAGAGTACAAGGTCGTCAACTTCGCCCCTTACCGCATGCACCAGCGGTGCGCGCCCAAGTTCCGGGTAGGCAGATTCATGCTGGCTGCCGACGCCGCGCATCTGTGCAACCCCTGGGGCGGGCTCGGAATCACCGGCGGATTTGTGGATGTTGGCGGGTTGTACGACTGTCTTGCGGGCATCTGGGATGGGGTAGCGGATGAAAGCATTCTGGATTTGTACAGCGAGAAGAGGATTGAGAAGTGGAAGACAATCATTGACCCGATTTCGCAGGAGAACTTTAGAAGGGTGTCAGATAAGGACCCTGGTACTAGGGTAGAGAGAGATGGGTTCATGCAAATGTGTCAGCGAGCTGCGAAAGATGAGAACCACATGCGGGAGTTGATGCTGGGGAGCTTGGCTGTGAGATATGATTTCACGCAGCATTACAATAAGGTAGACGGCTAAGGGGCGAATCATACTTGATGGAGTTGAATTCGGTGTAGTGTATTGCCTTTACTAGTAAGAGTCAATTCAATTCACCCATGACATCTCATTGATTTTGAGCCATGAGATCACCAACAAGATCACCTAATGAGGAGTCTTTCGTCATCCACATCGCCGGATGAGTGTCTACTGGACCTTTGCATGGTTTCCATGTCAAAATCATGCGGAAGAGATTGAATGAAAGAGCAGGATGTGAACATTCCGCTCAGTGCCATTTGTGAGCAGAAAGGTTCACCCCAGACCTGAGAATCCAAAGTATGTAGCGACTTGCTCACTTGAGACGGTCATGAAGAAGGATGTTTGGAGTATAGTCTAGGTGAAAATCAGTCCAAAGCCCGGGCTTAAGACAGCTTGAACCAGAGATCTACTAAAATGAGAGACCAGAAATCCATCAAAGCGCTGGGTCCTTACCATTCAAGTGTTTGAGCAACTGCTTTTCAGTACAGGGGGGAAATGGTATGACAAATGAATCTGAAGTGAGTTGAACGAGAGAAGTAAGTGCACTTTGACTCGGCGGCCCTCGAACGACATTTCCCATGAACTTCACAGAATGGATGAGGAAGTTGTATAACTGTGTGGCGACACAACCGTATTGTAGCCGCGGCTTTCCTGTCAACGGCCATGCCGCGGTTGCCGAAACTTGCATTTCTTTGTCCTGGCATGGGAACAGAGAACCGGGGGTTTTCAGACTCATGCTCTACCTCATGATTCGACAGAACCACCCATGGTGTTGGCCTGGAACCGCCACTGGTTTGATACGCTCTTCTGCACTCCTGCGGCGCATGCGTGGTATCGTTCCGGCGCAGCAGGCTCTGCCTTGAATCATTCGTGAAGCTTGCAACATTCCGTCCGATGAGTTATGCAATAAATGAGCGTCGAGATGTCTCCCATACGACTGCTAAAGACAATGAATTATGAATGAATATGGAAAGGAAGATCGAGAATTGTGAAGTGGTTCTGAGTCTAAATTAAGGTGTAGTGGAGCCTCGAGAAGACCCGCCGATTATCCACATTTTGGAGAATGATCCAATGAGGGCTCTTCTCCCGGCGGCTAATCCTAACGGCCCCAGCATCTTCTGTTGATGAAGCTCTCCCATTGAATCAACTTCTTCTCATTCACATCTGCCCCCAAATTGTCACAATGCAATGCGACGTCCAACGAGCCAAGCCAGGAAGCTGAATTGAAGATCGCATGTTCGTGTCTGAGATTGACGACTGAATTGCTGAAGAAGATCGTGGCGATGCATTCTGCAGACGGCGCAGTTGTTGTTGGTCCGGTCCCCACCCGGGCCGCCCCCTCGATCATCGTCTGCGGGCGCTTAGCCAACACCTCTCATTCCTCGACGCCCCTACCAGCGGCCCCACGTCAATGCTGGACCAATGCAGGAACCCTAGATCAAGTAACCTTATGTTGGCGCGAGGTGTTATCCGGCTACGGAAGTGGCTTAGTCGAGAGGAGAAATCATGCGAACTCACAGGTAGCCGCGCTGAAGGTCGTTGTTGGACCTCTGAAATATGCTATTGGAACCAGGTTTAACCTCCTGGTTCGTTTCGACGTCCCAAGTATCCGGCTTCGCCTGCGCTCTCCTTAAGGAGGCCAATGTCCCAAGTCCAGGCTCCCTCTCACTTTGTTCAATTCATCCCCTCTTGTCCTCTTTTTGTCTCTTTTCTGTCCCTTTCCTATGTCAGTGGCGGCTGGCTCCCACGGTTTGCGTTGAGTCTCTGGGTACGGGTTTGCTTTGATCCTCAAACTCAGTCCTCCAAGTCAGGCTACTTGCTCTTTTTGTTGCTTGCGGACCTGGCTCAAGGACTCAAGCCACCTCGTCAGCCATGTCCAAGACCCCGGAGGTTCGAGAGACTCAAGTATTGGGGAGTCCAGAAGGGTCAGAAAATGGGGAGGAGAAGAGTCGTCGAAACACATTTCCATGGCTGCGGTCGAAAGACAAGCAATGCAGCCTCGACAAAGGTTGTACACAGCCGAAATACACGGCAAATCGACCAACCTTGGCTGATACCAGACAGGACACAAACATGGATGGAAGCCGTTGACGATGAGCGCATCGGTGCTTTTCTCCTTTGCGTTCGCTTCTCTAATTCTAGCCGTCATCATCGAAGTACTCGCACAACAAAGCAAACGAAATGGAGGACTCGCACTCTCTCCTTCGATTAACGAGATTCCGACTTATGCGAAGTTCGGATACCTCTTTCTACCAACGATCATCGCCGTCATATACAGCTTGCTATGGGGTTGGATCGACCTGGATGTCAAAAGGATGCAACCGTGGCTGGAAATGTCACGACCAGAAGGCGCTATCGCGACGCGGTCTATCTTCCTAGACTACCCGTACGACTTCGCTGCTTTCATTCCGATCAGAG